TTTAAAAAATGTTTGCGTTTATACCAAATATGGTAATGAACAAATTATTTTACTGGTAAATTTTTACTGTCAAAGTGGCATGAACTATAATAATTACAGTAATGTCGCACTTATTAACCAAAAGTCGCACATGGATCACTTATTTAAATTACAATAAACGTGCAATCAATTTACAAATACATGAATTATTCACACAAAACTAATGCAAAGGTTAATGATTTTAAATGGCGAGACATCCATCTCGCAAACAATTCAAATATTACACAAAAACCTTAGATCCGTTATGAATATATATTGTGTATTTGTACAGCAATCCATCTTTTAGAAAAGTTTAGTTGAAGATGACTGTCAGTGTACTGCGATTAATATTTTTATCTAATTTCTCTTGTGTTTGTACAAGTGTTTTCTTTTATGGACACAAAGTGTGTAAAAACAGTCCAAAAGTTATGGCCGCTGTAGACGTATCCATAGTGGATATTATACAGTGTTGGCTTTTCCTTTTTTTTATTATTATTAATGCCTCCATCATCTTTAGCCGTTTCTTGGATGTAGATGAGACTATTATGGTTGTATTTTCCACAAGTATGTTGCGGATGGAGTTTGGTAGGTTTCCATGTGTGTTTAAATTGAGCTATGGTCAGAGAGATGTAGCGTGAGTCTTCCTGATAAGGTTGTAGTGCTATGTCCAATATAAGTATTCATGTATTTGTTTTGAACAGGATCGCTTTTCCTTAAGGAGTATGTAAATTCATATATAATACTGGTTCTCTGTAATTTGGATCTTGTAGGTAAATTCTTATTGTTAACGTTAGCCGTTTTAATTTTTTTTTTTATAGTAGATAATTAATTTAATTTTCTTGTTCTGGTTGACTGGGGTTATGTATTTCTTAATGTTTCCTATGGAAAAATTAATCCTGCTTATAATTAACGTGATTTTAATTTTTATAGACAATGTTGATATTATTTTAATCTTTATGTTCAGTGTTGCTTTTGTTTACTTTAGAAAGAAATAGTCTAATTTGGTTATCTATGAGGTAGTTCGGAAATCGTTATTAACTAGCGTCTGTTTCACGTTCTTTATAGAATAACGGACGATAAGTTGAATTCTCGTGCGCTCTATTTAGGAAAAAATTATGACATCGGTGGAGTAATGGATAGCAGCTCGGATTGAGGAATCGGGAGCCGATTTCGAATTTCAGCCGAATCCATTAGATTCACTTACGGGCTAATACCTTTGGGAAAGATATGTATCCTCTTCTTCTCCCACCAGCTATGGGTAAATAGCAGGGCAGACCGGGTTCTACAGACTTAGATGGCAACTGGTCTACTGCAGAAAAAAAAGGCAACCTACTGCGGGGAAAAAAACAGCCTCGACAGTCATTTATCGAAAGATACGTGATCGCCTAAGCGTGTATTACGCATGACACATAACTGACGAACAATAAACAAAAAACCGTAACCACGTGACCAAATAAAAACAAACGAACAACGGGGAGGGTTGGGGAAAAACATTTATTCGAAAAAATGACGTGGTTTTTTGTTTATTGACTATAAGTATTCCGTTCTTTTTTACTTTTTAACCAGCCTTCCCTGACGATCCGCTAAGGTGAAACCTTGGTAGGTTTGTCTGGCTTTAACTAGGTCTGCTCTATTCATTGTATTGAGCACTTTATTTAGTTATTTTGCGTACTCGTATCGTTTTTTTTTTCTTTGGGCTTTGGACTTGCATGCTGGACGATTATTTTCCGCTAACGTACTTGGTATGTTCTTGGTTCTTTCTTTTATTTTTTTATACCTTTTTCCCCCTTTGGTATTGGTTTGATTGTTTGCAAATTAAGCCACTGAATGTTTTCCGGACGAGTAAAGTTTCTTATACTTATAAGATTACTACTACTACTACTACTTAATATATATATATATATATATATATATATATATATATATATATATATATGCTATTTTTGGTCCCCAATTTTTACTGGATTGCCGAAACAAGATAGCAAAGAGTGAGAAGCACAGTACATACACACGAAATATTTCTATGTATACATACTGTATATGCATTGTATGTATTAACATGCATTAGCATGAACAGTCTCACTCAGATTCAATAGAAAAAAAATTCTCTTATTCTCGAATTTCCCCCCTTTATTCTGTTGGTATAGTAAGCCGAAGGGTGCATCTCCTACGCATGCCTCAGCAAAATATTACCATGACCCACCGGTGGAGCATGTCCCCCACTTTGAGAATCACTGAGCTAGATGAAGACACCATTGACTGGAAATGTCTTACCATTCTGTGGGAGGTATTTCTGTCACATCCTGGAATTGTATAAATGGAAGAAAAATTAAATCAAAATTTTTAATCGTAGTACCTTGTCTCTCGTCTTTAATTAAACTTATCTGACGTTATTTTTTTACTCATGGCTCACCTGGAGTTGGAGTGATTCTTTTATACAAGAAGTGAATGTTGGCACAAGGCTACTGTTCCTCTCTCCACCTCGTCCGGTCGTAGGGAAGCTTGCATTGTTACTCCTTGTTTAAACTTACGTCTAAGTAGCCACGCGAGAAAGAATATCGTCATTCGACATCCTTGTATGTATCGCTTTGAATTTAATTTCTGTATTCATTTTGTAAGGCAAAATGGCTCCCTGTGCCGCGCCAGGAAATTATTCTCGCCGGAGTCGATCCTTCAAATCTACAAATCAACCATTCGCCCTTGCATGGAGTATTGCTGCCATATATAGTCTGGAGCCCCTTCTGTTTATCTCAAGGTCCTTGATAATATCCAGAGACGGATATGCAATGTAATTGGCCCTGACCTGGCAGTTGCTCTCTCACAGACATGCCGTCGCCTCGCTCTGTCTTTTTTAAAATACTTTCACGGTAACTGCTCCGATGAGCTGCTTTCGCTGGTTCACAGACTTCATGCATTTTAGCGTTCAACTAGGCTGGCATCTCGCTCTCACCCTTTCACTGTTGAAACTGTTAAATGTAGCCGTCTCTTCTACTCCAATAGCTTCATGTCTCGCACTTCTCGCCTGTGGAACTTCCTCTCCTTTTCCTGTTTCCCTGATGGCTATAATCTCCAACTATTCAAATGTAATGTCAATCGATGTCTCCAGATCTATGCCCTATCCTTCTCTTCATCCTTTCCTCTATCATTCCTATTTGCTCTCGCTCCAACTCTCTGTATCCCCTTGCGTGCTAGTGGCTTCCCGCCTTGCTTGGGGTGAAACGTTTAAAAAAGAAATATTTTCTCTTTTTTCCTCGTTACTAACGTTTCCTTCCTTTTCATTTTCTTTTTGAATTGAATTTATTTTGCTCTCTTTTTCCTTCTTCGAAAACTTTGAATATTATATCCTTAACGATTTTTCTGGTTCATACAATCCTCGGACGTTATTTTTTTTTTTTACTCGTGGCTCACAGGCGTTGGAGTAATTCTCTTCTACAAGAAGTGAATGTTGGATTTTAATTAAAATTAAAAATTTATACTTACATTCCAGATTCCCTATCCATAGTACCCCCCCACCCCCGACTCATATACCTCCCCTCTATCCACCTATAACAATCCATATAGGCGGGTATAGCGAATGCCATCTCCCTTTACCCTCATCTCCCAATATGTCTTTTAGACCTCTAGCCCAGGAGCGATCTATACATACATAACTCACACCGTGGATTCTAGTCCAGCTTGGCTTTCCAGTTGTGTTTCTATACCCGTCGTTGTTGTCTTTCTTTTTGTCTATTTCTTGTGTGTTTTTAAGGAGTAGGTAGGTTTTCTTATCGCCCGATTAATACTCCTCGCCCTTCTTTTGAACAGGAGTAGAGGCTCATCCCTTGTTTCCTGTTTAGGAAGGGGTTCCCAGATATTTTCCTTTTCTCTGGCCTGAGTAGTAATGCTGTCGTGAATCTCTTGTGATATGTGCGATTTGTGGCAACGTCTATTCATACTGAGGGTATGAGGTTTCATAGTCTAACACTTGTTGGTTGTCTAATGGATTTTACAAATATTTTTTTTTCTTTTTGTTTCAGGTATTATTTTGTTATTCTGTGCTTTCTTTACGTCGCTTCTTTAGACATCTTCTCTGATACCAGAATGGAAAAAATTGTCATATTTAGGTAAGTAGATACAAGGATGAGTAAAAAAAAGCAGTTTGTTTTATTGTCTAAGAAAAAAAGGAAAACAATCAATCATAACCTACGTCAGTATATAGCTATACATCACAGGTTCACATTCCTACTTGTTATGGATTCCGGGAATGGAATCCTGCACAAATAAATAAACAACGCCGGAAATTGAGATAGAAAAATAAGTGTATTAACATAAGAATACAGACTTGAACTGAAGATTAGTAGTCCAGGAATGTGGATTAGCAGAAGGTATATGTACAAGTCCCTGACTGGTAGTTAGGAGCCCAAACTCTTGCGTTGAGGCTGCTCTGATTAACAGTTGCATAATACCGGGGTTCTTGCAGTGCCATGTCGGGCATGGAAGGGTGTGTCTGCATGCCTCTCCGGTGGGCAACCCCGAGGCCACATTATGTTGTAGTCTGCGCCAGTTCATTTCTGCTCATGCCACATTTGATGACCGACTGCTTCTATTACTTTAGTCTTTTTTCTTACCAATGTAAATCAATATGGCCATAAGCAACTAAAAATATAAATCATAACCAGCTAAAAAATATCACCTAAAACATTTAACGTTTCATTTTCCAACATCCGTGGTATTTGTACCAAATTTTGCAATGTAGAATCGTTCCTCTTTAATAAGTCTCCTGATATACTAGCTCTCTGCGAGACTAACCATAACACGTCCATCCCGTGCTCTGATTTATTGATTCCTAGCTACCTTTCTCGCCTTATAAAGGACTTCAGCGACCACGAAACTGTCCTTTTCAGGATATCGCTCTAAGTGTTGTCTTTTCTGGACACAAAGTGTGTAAAAACTGTCCAAAAGTTGTGACCGTTGTGGCCGTGTCCATAGTGGATATTATGTAGTGTTGGCTTTTCCTTTTTTTTATTATTATTAATGCCTCCATTATCTTCAGCCGTTTCTTGGATGTAGATGAGGCTATTATAGTTGTATTTTCCACAAATATGTTGCGGGTGGAGATTGGTAGGTTTCTATGTGTGTTTAAATTGAGCTATGGTCAGAGAGATGTAGCGTGAGTCTTCCTGATAAGGTTGTAGTGCTATGTCCAATATAAGTATTCATGTAATTGTTTTGAACAGGATCGCTATTCCTTAAGGAGTATGTAAATTCATATATAATACTGGTTCTCTGTAATTTGGATCTTGTAGGTAAATTCTTATTGTTAATGATGAGGTTAGCCGTTTAAAATTTTTTTTATAGTAGATAATTTAATTTTCTTGTTCTGGTTGACTGGGTTATGTATTTCTTAATGTTTCCTATGGGAAAATTAATCCTGCTTACAATTAACGTGATTTTAATTTTTATAGACAATGTTGATATTATTTTAATCTTTATGTTTAGTGTGGCTATTGTTTACTTTAGAAAGAAATAGTCTAATTTGGTTATCTATGAGGTAGTTCGGAAATCTTTATTAACTAGCGTCTGTTTCACATTCTTTATAGAATAACGGACGATAAGATGAATTCTCGTGCGCTCTATTTAGGAAAAATTTATAACATCGGTGGAGTAATGGATAGCAGCTCGGATTGAAGTGTATTAACATAAGAATACAGACTTGAACTGAAGATTAGTAGTCCAGGAATGTGGATTAGCAGAAGGTATATGTACAAGTCCCTGACTGGTAGTTAGGAGCCCAAACTCTTGCGTTGAGGCTGCTCTGATCAACAGTTGCATAATATCGGGGTTCTTGCAGTGCCATGTCGCGCATGGAAGGGTGTGTCTGCATGCGTCTCCGGTGGGCAACCCCGAGGCTATATTATGTTGCAGTCTGCGCCAGTTCCCTTCTGCTCATGCCACATTTGATGACCGATTACTTCTATTATTTTACTTACCAATGTAACTCAACATGACCATAAGCAACCAAAAATATAAATCATAACCAGATAAAAAATATCACCTAAACCATTTAACATTTCCTTTTCCAACATCCGTAGTATTTGTACCAAATTTTGCAGTGTGGAATCGTTCTTCTTTGATAAGTCTCCTGATATACTAGTTTTCTGCTAGACTAACCATAACTCGATAATCCCTTCCTTTGATTTATTGATTCCTAGCTACCTTCCTCTCCTTATAAAAGACTTCAGCGACCACGAAACTGTTCTTTTCAGGACATCGCTCTCGAGCGAACACTAAACTGTCCTTTTCAAGAGATCCGCTCACTAGCGACACCGAAACTGCCATTTGCAGGACATCCGCTCACTAGCGTCCACAGGACTGTCCTTTTCAGGACATCCGCTTACTAGTGTGCACAGAACTGTCCTTTTCAGGACATCCGCTTACTAGTGTCCACAGAACTGTCCTTTTCAGGACATCCGCTTACTAGTGTGCACAGAACTGTCCTTTTCTGGACATCCGCTTACTAGTGTGCACTGAACTGTCCTTTTCAGGACATCCGCTTACTAGTGTGCACAGAACTGTCCTTTTCAGGACATCCGCTCACTAGCGACCCCGAAATCGTCCTTTTCAGGACATCCGCTCACTAGCGTCCACGGAACTGTCCTTTTCTGGACATCCGCTTACTAGTGTGCACAGAACTGTCCTTTTCAGGACATCCACTTACTAGTGTGCACAGAACTGTCCTTTTCAGGACATCCACTTACTAGTGTGCACAGAACTGTCCTTTTCAGGACATCCGCTCACTAGCGACCCCAAAACTGGCTTTTTTCAGGAGATTCGCTCAATAGTGACCCCGAAACTACCAATTTCAAGACATCCGTTCACCAGCGTCCACGGAACTGTTCTTTTCAGGACATCTGCTCACTAGCGACCCCGAAACTGTCCTTTCAGGACAACGCTATTTCTCACGTTTTACTTGAGCCTTGCTTAGTTCATACTGACGTTATTTTTTAAGTATTTTCTTTAAGAAGAATAAACTTTATTAATTTTTATTTGTACTAAAAAAAAAATAAGTCAAGCGTTGGAGTGCCGACAGGATACGACAAACATTCTTTCTGAATATTCCAAGAAGAAGTTGATGATGATGATAAGGGAAAAAAATAAATTTGAAAGAAAGATATAAGAAAAAAAAAAGAAGCAAAATGGTAAAAAAAGAAGGAAAAGATGAAAAAGCAACCGAGACATTCTTTGACTCGGTGAGAAAACTTCCAATATGTGGGAAATCAGAGAAAATGAAATCTCTTAGAATCACATAAATCATGATTTACCCAATGTAATTGGCATTTCTTCCTTTTTCTATTTCTTCCTCCTACTTTTTAATGTTGTCCCACAGTCCGTTTTGCTGCAATCAAAGTAGGTACCTTTAAAACATTTCTTAAATAAATGGCATAATACCATAATGAAAAAGCCCCAAACTTGATAAAAACCTATTGTCAAAATGTTTATTATTATTAAAGAGAAAGACAAGGTGTTTTTTAATACTTTAAATCAGTTAATATTCCTCAAATAAACTTTCTGAAAAGTATATTCTATTTTTGGAAGATTTTTTTAATAAGAAGAATTACATTATGATGAAAGATGATAAAAAGGGCGCTAATCAGCTATTTTAGCAAAAAAAAAAAGTCGTTGAAATTGAAATTACTTATTGAAGTACATCAAAGTATTTTGTTTATTGGAAATATTAAATTTAATCTATTAGCTTGAAATTAAAATTTTAAAAAAAAGCTTCAAGAAAGATTTTTTCATTTTTAAAAAATTATATTAAACTTTAGGTATAGCGTTTTTTTGTAGCGGTCCCTATTGTAAATGTCATTTCTTCTTATGGAACATTTGATATAGAATTTTGTGGAGGTCTCTATTGTAAATGTCATTTCTTCTTGTGGAACATTTGATATAGAATTTGGTGAAGGTCCCTATTTTAAATGTCATTTCTTCTTATGGAACATTTGATATAGAATTTTGTAGAGTTCCCTATTGTAAATGTCATTTCTTCTTATGGAACATTTGATATAGAATTTTGTGGAGGTCCCTATTGTAAATGCCATTTCTTCTTATGGAACATTTGATATAGAATTTTGTGGAGGTCTTTATTGTAAATGTCATTTCTTCTTGTGGAACATTTGATATAGAATTTTGTGGAGGTCTTTATTGTAAATGTCATTTCTTCTTATGGAACATTTGATATAGAATTTTCCCATAGCAACAACTCAGCGTATTAAAGGTTTGGCTCGTATATTTGGTGACAATTTGTGAGTTCAATTCCTAGGCTGGACAGTGTGTACTTGGACGCAGTGGAAATAGGGCTGTCAATAATTGAACAGTACTGAAAATAAAGAAAAAATAGACAAGATATCCTTAGACATGGGCAGTGGAATGAGAAAAGTCTACCTCTGTAGATTAAATAAAGTTCAGAATTCTCTGTAGATGACGCTGATTGACATACTCCTGATGAAGGCTAGAGAGTACAGCAGTTGACACATAGTGATAACAAAAACAAAGACGAGGACAATAGTCTGCATGTAAATAATAACAACTTGATTATTGCAAGTTGCATATTTTGTAAATGCAAGAAAATAAGTCAGTGAGAGAGATTTGAACCAGCAATCAGATTGTGAAAACTTCAACAATATATAGCTTAAACACACACATTTGCATCAGCTGTAACTAATTTTGATTATACTTTTGTTGATAATTTACTGGTTTTATAGAAATGTTTGCCAATTATTTTGAAGAATATTTTCCTTATTTTTGTTTTTATTGTATTGTTTATATATATATATATATATATATATATATATATATATATATTACAAATTAACTGATTTAAAATATGTTTTTTCGCTACACAGTTCTAACCATGTTTCAAAAATAGAAGCTAAAAGCTTCGAATTTAATTTTGTAATTAAATTAAATACATTAGTTCCATTTCATCCTCAAGCGAATTTTGGAGTAACTTATTTTTAAAATTGCTGGGTTTTAAAGGCACTGCAAAAATTCATAATTCACGTTTCCAAGCACTATTTTGTA